AGCAGGGAGCCTGATGCGGGACTCGATCCCAGGACCCCGGGATCACGACCCGAGCCGAAGGCAGACGCTCAACCGACTGAGCCACCCAGGCGCCCCCAATCCCTTGTTATTTGAATCCTGTTACAGGTAAAAATTCTTCTATTAATAGGGGTGCCTGCCTGGCTGAGTTGGAAGAACATGTGACTCTTGATCTCGGGGTCATGAGTTCGAGCCCTATGGTGGGTGCAGAGATTACTAAAAGAAAATAAACTTAAAAAAATTCTTATATGAATAACTTTCCCCGTGTGGTTTCTGTCTCCTGGTTGGACCTTGATTGATACATATCTTAAGTGAAACAAAAGATGCAAAACATTATATATAGTAGTATGCTGTTTAAGATAAAAGAAAAAAGAATATGTAACAATAACATATAACATATATGTATACGTGTGTGTGTGTGTGTGTGTGTAAGAACCTGGAATAAACAAGAAATTAATGAAAATGATTATATGGTAGGTGGCAATGGAATGGAGGAGATACAGTTTGACATTTAAACCTTGGAAATATTTGTTTAAAAACAAATTAGAAAAAATATATGAGGAATTCAAATTCTGATTCAATGTTTATATTGGATTACTTTAATAAGTGTTGTTAGTAGGGATAATCCTATTGTGGTCATGTTTTTAAAAAGAATCCTTAACTTTTAGATATAGATATTGAAGTATTATGAATGTAATGATCTGGTTTCTGTGATTTACTTAAAAAATAATTGAAGAGTGAATGGATACTGGGAATGAATATAAAGAAACAAGATTGGCCTTGAATTGCTGATTGTTGAAGTAGGAAGCAGGTACATGGTTGGGAATTCATTATAGTATTCCCTCTATTTATGTGTATGTTTGAAAATTTCCATTACTTAAAGTAAAAAGTAAATTAAATAAAAAAGAAAAAAACAAAACCCTAAAATTAAATGCCAACAGAAGAAAATGAACCAAACTGCATATTAAATCAATAATAAACATGCAAAGAAATGAAGCAATTGAAATAATTTTGAACATGGTACAGAAAGTATACAATACTGGTGCTGAAACTCCTCTCCCAGCTCCTGTCCCCCATCAAAGAAACTCCGAAGTGTACTTAAGACAACAAGAAGTGAGGGACACCTGGATGGCTTGGTCAGTTGAGCGTCTGCCTTAGGCTCGGGTCATGATCCCAGGACCCTGGGATCGAGTCTCACATCGGGCTCCTTTCTCAGTGGGGAGCCTGCTTCTCCTTCTGTCTGCCTCTCCCTCTGCTTGTGCTGTCTCTCTGTCTCTTTCTCTCTCTGTGTGACAAATAAATAAATAATTTTTAAAAAGACAACAAGAAGTGGGTAGAGGGCTGTTGCGAGTGAAGGGCAACTAAGTGGGTCAAGGTGGCAAGAAGTGTCCAGTGGTATGCTCTAGCTCACTGGAAATTAGTTATTTTTAGTTTGCAAAAGAGATTATCAAAAGAATGGGGCACCTGGGTGGCTCAGTCGGGTAAGCATTCAACTCTTGATTCCCTCTCAAGTCATGATCTCAGGGTTGTGAGATCAGCCCTGCATCAGGCTCTGCACTGGGCATGGAGCCTGCTTAAGATTCTTCCTCTCCCTCTGCCCTTCCCCTCCAAATAAAAAAATAAAAAGATTAAAGTGCTTCTGGAAAAATCATAATGGAAATTATTCTTCACAGGTGAGTTTAACCCATTTGCAGTTAATGTTATTATTGATAGCCTATTATTTATTTATGCCTTTTTTGTTTTTTTTTAAGATTTTATTATTTATTTGACAGAGATAGAGAGAGCACAAGCAGGCAGAGAGGCAGGCAGAGGGAGAGGGAGAAGCAGACTCCCCGCCAAGCAGGGAGCCTGATGTGGGACTTGATCCCAGAACCCTGGGATCATGACCTGAGCTGAAGGCAGCCGCTTAACCAACTGAGCCACCCAGGCGCCCTTGTTTACTTTCTATTTACCTTTTTTGTGCATCTTTCATCTTTCCTGATCACTGTTGGATTTATTAAGTTTTCATTATTCCTCTCTTTAGATACATTCTGTTTCTATGCTTTCTAGTTTCCCTTAAAGCTTTTCACATCTTAGAAGGCCTAAATGTTCTGTTTCTAGAACATGAGGACTCCTAAACTCAGACTTCCCTTTTCCACTTTTTTTCTTCTTTTCATTACATTTTTTGTATTTAATTCTTAAAAATTAGCATATATGATATAATCAGAAAAATGAAGTTTCACTGGGGGAAAAATACCAATCCACCAACCATGTATAAATAAAAGAGAAAGAAGGCATTTTTGAATGATCTTTTTATAGAGTGAAAAAAGAAAATATCAAGGTATGACAAACTCTTAGAGGTGGGAAAAATCAAGGGATTTCTCACCAAAATGCTCTGTTTCAGCCACAGAGCACAAATAGACTAGGGAGTTCTGGGAATCCAAGATGTTTGGATGGATCCAAACATAGTTTTGTTTTTCTTCTTGCCAAAATCTTGTACAGCCCAAGACAATGAGGTCAGCGACAAAAGCTCTCTAGGAGGGAGTTTATATTTGCCCAGTACTGGAAATAATTTTATCTTCTATTTGTATTCCTACTTCCACTTAAAGGAGGGAGCAAAATAATTCATGAAATCCAGATTACATGCTCCCTGATCTATTACAATCAAAACTCCCTTGTTTTACTCCCTTATTTCCAGGGCAGACCAGTGTACACTTCTTGCCACTTGACCTACACCCCTGCTCTTTCAAGGGGCCTCGCTCATGTTGGCAACAGTAGGGCCCCCCGCTCCCCCTCTTCTTGTAGACTTAAGTAGTTTGGCATTTCTCAGATGAGAGGCACGGGTTTGGGAAAGGGAGATAGGATGGGATGGCAGAACTAAGTAGGACAAAGTGGGGATTTCATGTAGGAAATGAGAAAACAGTTGAGCTGAGAAAAAGGCAAGTCCTGTGACTATAAATACCTAAAGAATTTCCTGCATGGCTGTCAAACTGATTCTGAGGGCAATTCCAAAAGAAAGAGGTTCCGGAAATTTTGGGAACTCCAAGAGTGAAACCAGCATGTAGCCTCCTGAAATACTTGGGGATTGTTGAAGAAAGAAGCTATTCAAGGACACTTGTTAAAGATGGCAAGGCTGATTTTATTCAGATAGGTATAAGGACCACTGTAATGGGATTTTAGTCAGGTAGAGAGATTGGGCTCAACTGTGAATACAGCATGGGTAAGTGGGAATTTATAGCAAAGGAGGGGGAGGAGAGGGGTGGTGGTCATTGGATGGAAAATTACTAAGAGAAAACATCAGAGGTAAGGAGGGTTCTGGCTAAATTGGCCTAAAAGGAGTCCTTTCGTTTTTTTGTTTGTTTGAGAGAGAACATGCACATGGGAGGGAGGGAGAGAGAGAAAGAGCACGCGAGCATGAGCAGGGAGAGGGGCATAGGGAGAGGGAGAAGCAGACGCCCCGCTGAGCAGGGAGCCCCACACAGGGCTCAATCCCAGGACCCTGAGATCATGGCTTGAGCCGAAGGCAGCCCCTTGACCTAACAGGAATCTTGCTGAAGAAAGGCCAGGGTGATCAGACCTCACCTGATGGACTGTAGAGGGTAAGGAACCAGATCACATATCAAGAGTAGGGAGTTCTGGTTAAACTGATTTAGTGAGATTCTTGCTAAAACTAGATTTTACAAGGAAGTGCACAGAAGGCCTAGGAGAAGGTTTGGGAGCCTGACTAAAGTTTGGTCAAGCAAAGAATTTTTGTCAGTAGACAAGATTTAATTTAGTTCCTTAAGTTCTAGCATGCTTGTTCAAAAACGTACTATCATTCATTTACAGTCATTACACAACATTACTCTTCAAAAAATGACTAATGGAAGAAAAACAATGCAACAGAGTTGTAACTCAGCTTAAACTTGAAAAGGCTTGATATCCAAATTTAGGTTCAGGTTGTTTTGTCACCACTCAAGAAGGCATAAAGGTTTTTGACATTAGCAAGGAACACTGTGGACAGCAATAAAAACTCTAGCCTAAATAATGGGTGGTTCGTCCTTTTAAGGGAATAGGTGTAACTGACATAATATCACATTCCAGATTCAAGTTGCTAAGCAGAGAAACTTGCTCTTTTCAACTTGATTAATGCTGCCTATGCTATCACAAGGACAGTTCTAGGCACCCCTAGGCGCTAAACCTGTATTGATTTCTTAAATACAGACCCAAAAACTCACTCCCCAAAAGTTGCCAAGTATGACACCCTACTTATTAAAATCAAATACAGATGGTACCTGTGATAGACACTACTTGAGCTACACTCACATCTTATGTAGATACATCAATGAAAAAGAACAGGAATATTTGAAGTGCAAATGTTTTATTTACAAGCTTATTTAAATACTTATTCTCCTCAACTGAATACTTACTGTAATACGGAATACAACGGCTCTTCCCTCTCAAATGGTGCCTTAAATTGGTTGTTTTGCTGTTTACATACATAGGAAAACATCTTTATAACAAGTTTTATAACTCAAGAGGAGACAGATCAGTAACACTGCCTTGCCCATTAAAAGTGCCAGCAAATGGGTAAAAATATTACTGAAATTCATATTTCATATTAGACCACATTTTTTTC